GACTTTACGAGGCTGTACCTCACTTAACGCAACTCCACCCATTCTTTCCCCCGAGAACGACTGCCACTGCGAGCAAACTTAAGAACGTCAAGGTATTCCATGTTGTGTCCCTTGTGGAAAAATCAGCTGAGATAACTCGAGGCGACGGTTATATCGTTTCATTGGGGGCAGAAGTTCAAGAGCACTCGTCCAACTGTAAGTGAACTCGTACAAACTCGAAAAGGGCTTCACTAAAGATGTTTTGGACATTTTTTCTCCTTCCTCTTCGCTGTTCTTCCATTTACTCAGCAGATTAATTTTTTTCCAGTGGAATAGAACTTATGGACTAAAATAAGTGTAATGTGAGGTGCAAGTCATGATCGCGGCAAGAACGGGGGCGTGGCTCTCTGGGGCGGAACTTCCAATAAGGTATATTGTATGCAAGGGCAAGTGTAATGAGCGCTTCGCGCAAGAATGCAAAAAAAATCGTCTCGCAAAAGGACCGGAAGATAGCTCCACCGTCTTTTCTACAGATTCATTTTGTCCACGCTTTTGCATTGCGTTTTTTCAGAGAAAAGCTACGATTGATTTCAGGAACTGGCGGCAGCGATGAACGCTGAAGACGACAGTATTATCGGACAACTCGGTCTGACTGAACAAGTGGAAAAGGCAAAGACACTTGCCACTGGCGCTTTTGAGACTGTCAAGGGTTTCTTGCCCTTTGGAAAATAAGAGTTGTTATGCCTGTAGCAGAGCCTGACATTTTCCGCTGTTAAATTCTTCTATTTTCGGCTTTATGTACCACTTTTCTCACTCCATATAACTTCGTATAATTCATTCAAAATTTGTTTCCAACAAATTGCAGTTCATGGGATTCTAAGCAGTTTCACAGTTTCACAAGAGGTTGTTACATTGCTCTGCTCCCTCCCTGCCATTTTGTAGTAATACTGAAATGGTGCAAGCAGTTAATGAATCCAGGCTGATTATGAGTTTTCCAGGTCAAAAGTTAGTAAAATTGCATCTTAATTTAATGGTTATTTGCTGAATTGGTCACAGGATTATAAGCTCAGGGAAACAGGCGGTATACAGTACCCCGAGAATTGCACATGAAATTAGATGTTTGGTCACCTGGATATACACAACCGGTCCTGGCGAGAAGTGAATGCTGCTGAGTACAATCGCAGATCCTACGCAATCTGTACTGTTTGGGGTGCTGTATACCGCCTGTTTTCCTGATCGTATAATTGAGTGAATTGATCCGTATTTGACGTAGTGTATTATTGCGTATGTGCCAAAAAAGATTATTCCCGTCTCCATTGATTCCTTCAACTAATCGTTAGTGTCTCCTGGTTGCCGTAGCCGTTTTTATCACCTGATCTCCTTTTTATGCAATTTTCCGGTCATTTTATCCATCCCGGTTCGTTCCTGATTTACCGTAATCTGTTATCGCATAGTCTCGTGATATAGTCTGTGTTGTGCCGAGGAATTATTTGTGTAATGGATTCTAATGAGAGGTTCATTGAAATAAACTAGTTATAGGTACTTGTCGGTAATGACCGGCGAGACGGCGACCGCACCAGCAGTGAAAGCGGTGGCAACAACGGCTGCAGTCGATGAGAAGTCAAAGTTTGCTGTACCCGATTGGGCAAGTCGACCACCACCTGGATCACATTTGGATGTTTGCAAAGGGGAACAACTGATACAGGTGGAGTTTAAGACTTTTTCAATATTGTTAGGTTTTTTTGAATATTGTTAGAGATTTTCTAAAGGAATGACGTATAGTCCACATCTTAGAGCAAAAAGAGAAGTGGCTGGGAGAGGCAGGAAAGGGAGGGGGCCGAAAAAACCCAGTCATCGCTGGCACATCCGTTTTCGACCTCTGTTGCATACGGAATAATAATGAATGAGCGCGAATTGTCCTAGAGGAGGCATTTTCCTGGTTCCCATCGGTCACGGCTTCCTGTAAATACTTGTAGATTTCCGCAAAGCTTCACAATAGCAGGAGCATCGTTTACAATTCGTAAGGGTCTGTAGCTCTCCCCACAGTGTGACTTGTGTGACTGTAATTGAACGGCAACTAGCGAAAGTGCAAAATGCCCCTCCAAGCCGGGCAACGCCTAAGCGAAGTTCGTTTTCTGATCCGATAGAGGTCTTGCAACATACTGGAGTTGCCTCCATTTAGGAGTTCTATGAAATTTAGGTGGTAGTTTGTTCATATGTACCCCTCACCCTATATTTTTTTCAGAAGCTGATGGTAGATGAAAAACGAGCATACTATTTCGGTCGGAATCCCAAGCAGGTCGATTTCGCTGTTGAGCATGCATCATGCTCCAGAGTACACGCTTTGTTGCTCTATCACGGTATCCTGAAGCGATTCGCTCTGGTTGACACTGACATGGAGAGCAGTAAGTATTTTTGAGGTGGTTTTTGAACACTAGGGTAGCGGAAGGGCCAGTGAGCACTTAGACGAGGCCACGCTTTTATCGCTCATAAGGACAGTGGCAATTTGACGCTGCCATGATGTTCAATGGCCCCACCCACTTGCAGTCATAGAACCAGCCCCAACGTGCCAAAGTCTTTCTAGTGGTACTTTTATCCCGCTACCAGCTCTTTCTCCATTACTAATGAAAAGATGGGAGAAAAGAACTCATACGAACAAGTGATAGCTCGTGCTGCACGCCCTTTGTTCGCTGTGCACTCGTACGAGCTCAGATCAGCAGGGGTCTCGTCTAGGGCATTTCCAACATTTTCTTCACTGAATCAAAGACTACCTTGTCACTGGTATTTGAGTCTGTTACCCACCATCTTTGATCGCGGGACCTACCTCCAGCCACGAAGAAATACTTTTTTTTGCTGTTCCTATTTTGACTACTTTCTGAGGCTGCTTTTTGTTCATTTACGAAAAAATGTGAGAGGAATGCTGATAGCGATACACAGCTGGCTAGGCGTAAGGCAGAAAAAAATGTCGCCCATTAGCTCGCAGCTCCCCGGATTTAGCCTACAATCTAGGCGCTGCTACCTTCTCCAAAATATATACTTAATTTTTCAGAATATGCTTGAATTACTTTTGTTTAGGTATGTACGTATGTAACATACGTCTGGAACTGAGAGTGGTTTTTTCGTTGATATCGGTGTGCCGTTTCACTTTGGAGCGTCAACGAGAAGGTTCGTTTCGTTTAAGTTTATGTGTCTTTGTCAGGGAGAATGAAATTTGGCTTCCGGAGTAGATGAGACTCATTTACGTCGTGTTTTTCTTCCGCAAGAGTTGATGTCTGACGTACTGTAAGCCAGATTGGCTCGTTAATTACTAAGACGTTGCCACGGCACTCGTTCGCCACAAGCGATTTATAGTTTGTACGAGAGACGCAAGTGTTTCTAGGCAGTGTTTTTCGAAGTAGTCCCTTATAGGCTTTATAGTTACATTAGAATTGTTAACATAATTCTTCAATTATGAAGGTGAGAGGTAATTTATCAGAGGTACATTGCGCTTCAATCGCATGGGCAGGACATTTATATGGGCACCAAACTCACGGAATGTCACCCTTGAGGGGTTCTCAACGATAGGGTTTTAATATGAACTGCTTGAAGAGCGGAGAGTTTCTGCTCAGAGAGAAACTCTGCAATTACTCCCGTGGATCCCGATTCCTGTTATATGCGAGGTGAATTGGTCCGCAGCTGCAGTAGCGTGCCACTTTCTCGCTCAAAGTGCTTGGGAACGAGTAAGATACATGGGCGCTGTTTACGGATTCTGCTCGCGCTGCCGCTCGGCCAGGCATACGCCTGACCATAGCCAAACGCGCCAATCGTATGCGTCCTCTACTTCTGATTGTTACTGCTGAGTGCTTGTTTCCCCACCCTAATTCAGCCGCGGACTCACCATGCACATGGTGAGGATCAGTTGTTACGGAGGTGAGTGCGAAGTTTGTATCTAAGGCTGCGTTCATACTTTGCGGCAGCGTCCAGCGACTGGAAAAGTAGAATATCGGTCTAGCTTTCACCAACGTTCACCAGCGTCGAGGGCCTGGGAAGTATAGGTATCGATCCAGCGTCTACCAGTCTGGCCATGGTGCACCAGCGTCTGTCAGCGTTCGAGAGCAGAGAGTTTGGCCCGACAGGAGGTGGCAGACACCTAGTCCCTCCTATCTCGCCATATCTCTACCAGCAGTCTGCTATCCTCCTGTCTCACCATACTCTACCAACTCTGTACCTATAGCGCCACACTCTTTTTCTCCTGGACGCTGGTAGACGCTTGATCGATATCTTTTCATCACTTTGCCAGTCGCTGACGC